AAAGTTAACATAAAGTTATAAAATATCATGCAAATATTAACTATATTAAAGATCATTTTAATTATATCAAATGCGAGTTCTAAAATTGAACAATAAAGATGGTTTCAAATAAATTAATAAATTTATAGTGAAATATTAATATTGATAACTTCTATGTTTTATAATACATATCAATATGTATTATTATTATTGTTGTATCTTCATATAAGTATATATATTATGCATTAATATACCATATAGTAATTTGTATGGATAATAGTTTATATACTTTATGAAATTAACTATGTGGATACATGTTATATGGAGGTTAAAAATATTTTTATTTGTTTTATATTTTAAACTTGTTAGTCACCAAAGTGACTTAGTTTAAATTAAAATAAATATTCAAACCAAATACGCATGTTTTAATTGTTCATAATAAAAGGATGCTAATGTATGACATAAAATAAATAATTGAACAATTATAATTATTTATCATATTGCTATTAGATCATCCAAAGATGGATCAATGCATATGATTAATAATATTATAGGGACATAATTTTGGTTAATAAGTATGTATATCCAAAGATTGCATTCTTATTTAACTGGTAATATTATGATGTCCATTAAAGCATATTTTGCATCAATGATTGTATGTATGTATTGAAATATTGCCCAAAGGTAAATTTTGGTACATATTATTGTTACTTTTGAAATACTAATGGATAAATATTTATAAAATTTCAGCTTCACTTAACCTTATGGCTTCTGGCAATGGAATTGTTAAGTTCAACGGGCTTAACTATGCAGACTGGTCTGAACAGATCCAATTTTATTTGGGTTTCAATGATATGGATTATGCATTGTTGAATGAAAAGCCAACAGCCATAACAGATGAAAGCTCAGAAAATGACAGGATTAACTTCGAATCCTGGGGGCGATCAAATAGGCTATGTTTGAACTTGATGAGGATCACTATGGCAGAAAGTGTTAAGCCATCGATGCCTAAAACTGAAAGTGCAAAGGAATTTCTGCAAAAGATTAAAGAGTATTCTCAGTCGGATCTGGCTGACAAGTCGATTGTAGGAAGTCTCATGAGTGAGCTAACTACGAAAAAGTTTGACTGGTCTCAGCCTATCCATGATCATGTGACTAACATGTCTAATATGGCGGCAAAG